GTTCCCTCTTCTGCCACCGCCCTCCGGGCCGCCGCCGCGTCGTAAAAGTACATGTTACAGTCGTCGTCGGAGACTGAGTCGTCGTTGGACACTCGACGTTGAGCGTCATCAGAAGACACTGCAGGGGAACTTGATTCCTGCGAATCCGTGTCACCACCGCTTTGCTGGAGAATCTCTTCCTCGTTCTCGCAGAAACCTGTGTTAAATTAAATTATATTTCGAAACGATTTTCAAGCATATTTGAAGATGGTATTTTTATATATCTTTGTAATTTTGTGCCATAAATATATTGACTTTGAATTCCCGCCATTCAGTAACTTACCCTCAGACGATACGCTCGAATGGTTACCATCGCTAGGCCCCGAATCTCTTGGTGGTTCGCTCGGCCCATCACCGGATCCACAAGGCTGCAAAATAATAAAAATGTATATTATAATGTAAAGGTCAAATATTGTAGTGTAAAATTCAATAAATAGCACATCTCTGAAATGATGCTGAAAATAGCAGTTAAGTAGGGCGTACATAAAACGTTCCACATTGACCACCATTTTTTGGATACTGGAATATGGGAAGTGGAAACCACGAAGGACAAGGAAGACAGATTCGAATTCGACAATATAACCGGGAATAAGAGACAGACAGATCTTTAGCCAGTAACTACAGTAAAAATCCTGTAACATGTGTACACAGCTGGGTTCGAAGTAATCATTGCTAGTTATCAAGGAAATTATAATTATCGAATCTACGTTGATAATTATTTTGATATTTATAAAATTAATTGGAACAATAAAATACTATCGCTGGCAATGACGTACCATGTGTTTGTATCAGACGTATCTAAAAGTGCCAAACGTCAATCTCAAAAAGTCCCAAACCAAATCGTTTTTCCAAAGATTTTTCTTCTTTTATTTATTTAGTTTTCTCACTATTTATCATGTTTAGTAAAAAATTAAAGAGGCAAAATTATGAATCAGCATGGATAATTATCGGTTATACCGGACAATTATAATGATAGATATTAGATAATTATCATATAATTAACAAAGACATAATTGTGTCAGGATCGAGTAAAGTGGCGTTCCGTGGTCTCTGCCTACCCCTCATGTGGAACTAGGGCGTGAGCTTCTGTATGTATGTATAACGAACATGATAAGTATAAAAGAAAATAAATATCACGATAAATTCCAATTCCGTCAAGAACTAACAGTTGTTCACTTTTTTTTTATAATATCAAGTGACGGGACGAACAAGTCGTGCGCCTGATGGTAAGCTACACGCCTGTCCATAACAGTTGCAGTACCACTCAGAGCTTTAAATCGAAAAAAATTGAGGGGCACTGGCACAGCACAGGGTGACGGGACCCTGAGACATAACTTGACAAGTCCCATGTGCCTGTAATTTCACTCACTTGGTTAGAGGGTCCGGCCACGGTCAAGTCCACATTGATATGGTTGGCTCTGAGTACCAGCGTACGATGAGGGTCGGCGTTTGTCAGTCGGTAGCTAAGCGACATCTCGTTATTGAGGACAGCTTTGGATGAATTCACCTAGAACAAAAATTCTCTAATGATTTCAAAGACATAGATAGTTGTAAGTCCTTTGTAATACATCCGTAATATGTGCATAAAAGACGTTATATAAGCACTTTCGAAAAGGATTATAGTTTCAAATAGTCATGTAATGCAAAATTAGTATTTTTGGAAAAAGAGAAGAGCTCCTTTTATCTTTGAAAAAAAAAACGCGTAATGAAAGAATTTGCTGGCACACACATACATACTACGTACCACTTACGATGTTCGTCGAAAGGTGGTCCTCATCTGTACTCCTGCAATATAAGCAATTATGATCGTACCAACCTGATGTACACTATCGTTTTGCTTATCGGCGTGCCTGAAAATAGTGAACGGACTGTGATACAACGGGTTTAAGTCCTTAGTGTAGGTAACACCCGGTATTTGATAGTCGTCCCACTCGAGGAAACAGGCCTCCATGGCGGGATGAAAGCCCGGGAACACTTCGTTCTCGCTGATCCCATTAATGTATGGTGGGTGAGAATGAGACCGTGATGAATGCCGGGAATGCGACGAGGAAGTTCCCATGTGGTTGTTCCGATTCTTAGCCACCTGTTTAAAAAAAAAATTAAAAGCTTATTTTTTACCTAAATACCATATTTAAAAGTTTTTATTCGAGTTTTTTTTGCTTTTGTCACGAACTGCTTCCGTGGCCCAACGGTTACCATGCCGAACTGCCACGCAGAGGTCCAAGGTTCGATTCCCGGGCCTGGAGAAACATTTGTATGGCATATATTTATTTCACTTGTGAGTTTGGGTGTAACTTGTGGTGGTCTATGTGTGTGTCCATGGCACCCGCGACTCTGGGTTTCCCTAGTGCGGGGCTAGTAAGTTGAGTGTGTGTTATTATTATTATTATATTTTCCACTTGCAAGGCTTATCACAACTTCGTTTCAGTAACAATTAAATAATGTATTCAGCAGTGTATTTTATTTTAAATTCAAATAACGTAACGTAATATGGAGGATTTATAGCTTTCTATAACTTTTTGACGAAACTCGGAATGTTACATTTATGAGAAATTGAAAAAAAAAAAAACAAATGCACCTGGTGTTTTTGCGACACGCCTGTTCATACAAGTTGCAATGCCACTCAAGAGCTTTAAATCGCAAAGATTATACAATCTTTGCGATTCAAAGCTCTTGAAAAAGCCCTTCAAAATCGGAATGCAGACAGAAAGAGGTAACGTAGCAGTACTTTCCTTGACGAGCTCTGCCACAAGGTGTTCTGCTGCTATTGTGTTAATAATATAACTTTTTTATTTTATAAAACCCGGATTCATAAGTTCGTAGAGTTACATTTATTTGCCAAGTTTTATTGAAATCGGTTACCGGAAAGTGTGCGAAACCGGATCATCCCCTAGTTTGCCACCCTTAGAGGAGGAATATTTCCTTCAAATTTAAATAGTACCAATCGTCAAAACCGGTTCCCAAATGTTATCGCGTGATATTTGTGAACCGATATATTTGTACGTAACAAAAAAAATACAGTCGAATTGAGAACCTCCTCCTTTTAAGTCGGTTAAAAATTGTATTGCTTAGTGGCAAATATAATTACGTTATCCATTTTGTCAGCTTCTCAAAAATGTCACTTTTACGAAACGTGATTTGGTTTTCCAAAATGGTAAAGAAATAGCATCTCGTATTCAGATGTGTGATAAAAATTCATCAATTTGTGGTCGTGATTTATTTAATATTCAGCGAACGTATCCTATGTACAAATTCGTTTATAAAACATCTACCTACAAAATTAACTATTAATGCGTTTGGCTATTCGGGCGTCCACACTTTCTTCTTGTCAATATGTATGGAAGTAAGAGTTACCTTATCGAGAACCTTCATGTGCCACTGAGCGAACTGTTCGTGCAAGGTATCGCGCTCGTGCGGTGCCAGTCCCGGGTTCAGCGCGGCCAGGCGCCACAGCAACACCACCTGGGCAATGCAATAAAACTTGTTAAAAAAGGCAAGTTATAATTTAGAAAATGTAATTCCATAATGGAGCTATAACCAAATTTAACAGAGATGAATTATATAGAAAAGGTTTCATTTAAACATTTTATATAATAAAAAATAATAAATCATACAAAAAAAAACCGCAGAAATAAAAAAATAACCAATGCAATGGCCGAAAATATATACTATTTTTCTTGTTATTGAAGAATTTAATGACACTACAATTTTGTTGCTCAAGAATAAGGCAGCCTGTTGCACTTTGTAGTGTATGTATTTGTTTGTTACAGTAAAGTGCATATTATGTTGAATTTAAATATTATATTGAACTAAATATTTATTTGTAAATAAATATAAACTTTTATGCACAATGCAATAAAGTACAAATGGCGCACTAAATGCCATAAGGCCGCCTCTACTAGTCAACCGTTGGGTCAAAGACGAAAAAACAATAGGTTGGTGCTATACTTAAAACCAGAACAGCAAAATATATAAGCCAAAATTTGATATTTTATACCTATCACAATTTATTATAATATACTAAATACACATGTATGTATATTATAATAGTATATTATGCCTACAGCAACATTGTTCACAATCTAAATCATGAAGATTGTGAGGAAAGGTTTCATAAAATGTTACCTCGTCACAAAGCGAGGAGCAGGCGTGCTGAGCCGAGGAGTTGCCTCCGCTGCCGCCATGTTTGCCGCCGCCACCGCCGTTCCACGCCACTAGAGCCGCCTTGGTGCTGTACCACCACACTATAATCTGGATAACCCGACACGTGCGTTTTATTTTACAGTTACCTAAAAAACTGTTTTTAAAATTCTCTAATCGCATTCTTTTTTATAAATTTAAATGTAACGAAAAGAATCAGCAAAAGCTTATAAGTAAATATTATTGGTTTTAATAATACAAATCACGCGTATTTTCCTTTTTTTAAAATACCATTCATCAACATCATTTTAGCCAAAAGACGACCACTGCTAGGCATAGGCTTTCATCAAAATCTGCGTCTCTCGCATAAATTGTATTGAGAGAAAAAAAAATTACATAAATAAATACTTACATTAATAAACAATATTCTTTGGTTGAGCCCCCTCGTAATTTTCTACTTGGAAATTTGACCGCCTGTTGTTACATTAGCTTATTCCAATATAGGGTGATGGTACCAATAACCGATAAATTAGAGAAGTGTGTCTTTAAATTTGATATAACTTTTTGTTTTTAAACATGTATTGACAAATGTAATCTTCAAGATTATGCTGTAGTGTGTTTCATTAAAAAAGCTTATATATTATATATTATAATTATTACTACAAAAAAAACCTAAATTGGAATATCCCTAAATCTCCAGTAACGAACGCCAAAAATCAACTACTTAACCAACCAGTCTACACTCACCAATAATGTAACCACCCAGTAATTGACACTAAACAATAAGAAACGTGTTACTATGACAGAAAACTTTGTTCTAAATCTTATTAGAAATGAATTTTACAAAAGATGCAAAAAATATGAATAGATGAATCATATACTCGACTAAAGGGTATCTACGACCAATAGTTTGGAGTCATCTATCATATAAACGCGGTATGGAACAAAAAAACAAACTCGCTTATACACAGAGTGAGGGACAGCAGTAACATCCGCATGAACATGATATATAAGATGTTTGATGGTACTTTGATGTGGACAATTGTGGACCTAATATGTTGTCTAAAATATAAATGAATAAATTTATTGATACGACTGATAACAATAAATGTTTCATTTAATAGCTATCGTCACCATGACATTGCATTGAAAATAATATTTTGCATAACTCAAGAAAATCTTACAAATAGAATTACTTATACATACTAAGTTTTATTTTATTAATAAAATGAACCTTTAGTATTGTGTTTTAAAGAAACGGTTAGTGAAACTTAATTTTTTGCTCCGTCAATACCAACGTAATTTTTTGGCAAAGTTTCAATTTTGTCACCCAATATGTGAAACACGATCGAATGACAAGCAAACGTGTACTATATTCCTAAAATAGCTTTACGACGACGTACCATAGGAGTATCTTAAGAACAGTAGCATGTATTTTTCTTTTATGCTATTTGGCAATGGACTTCGTTAGAGATACGCATAATTAAGAACATATTATTAAAACTACAAGGTCCAAACACAGAGACCTGAAAACTTTTTAAAATCTATTGTTCCGTATCGTGATACGAAACAATAGATTTAAAAAAGTTTTCAGGTTAAACCATTGACTTACAATAAGTCAATGGGTTAAACAGATTAAATTGCTGTTGAGCCTGAACCATATTTACTTTATTTTTATTTTATTTAATATCTGTCACAATTGATTTTTAATATTATAATTGAATCTTATTTATATACACAAAATTGTACACCTAGCATTTGGAGTATAGAATAACTAGTAAAATGAGACGGGTCTGTAATTAATTCCTTTGTCTGAATATTTAACAGTAATTATAATTTATTATTTAATCATTTAGAAAACTGTTTCCAGACTAAATTAGTTTGGTAATCAAAACGGAAATCTCTTCATGTACGCAACTGGTTAAACAACGAAATTGGAAAAACATACTGTGTCATAACTCACCTGTTCACAAGCCATGACCTCCTCAGTGATGATTTCGAGCAGCGGTATGGCGTTCCTGTCATTTCGTTTGAACATCTCCCTCACAATGGAGAGAAGGTTCCACATGCCCTCTGGCTCTCGGCCCCGCAGTGGACGAAGAAGAGATGACCATTCAGCCGCCGCGGGGGGCGCGCTTGTACTTAAGTAGTTTACATCACTAGAGAAAAGGCGATAGAAATTTGTAGTTGGATATTTTCTTTATATGTGGAGTGATAAGACATCACAAAAAGAGTTAACTGTTGATAAGATGATATATAAGAGAGTTAGTAGTTGACAATTTTATTACTTTGTTACAATACCAAAAAAAACTAACAAATTATTTATTCCGTATTGTAACAGAAGTTTTAGTAGTAATATTAAGTATGTGTAGATTTTTCTATATAAATCATCTGAATATAAAGGTTTCGATAATAATTAATAACACATTTAATAGAAATTGCACTTACCTAAACACTATTGGGGCAGGGACACAGAACTTGACTAAAATCTTATTGATATTGTTGTGCAAAGTCTTCTCGTCCAAAAACCATGAAGTATATTCGTAGGCAGAAGCGCCAGCCGTCGGGTCTGGTGCCCCACAGGTCGCGTTAATTTGGTTTGGGTGGGCGGATAGTAATTCGTCCAGTATCCGTTGAGCCGTTGGCAACACTTGCCGTGGTAGTTCTGATATTAGATACTGTGCAAACTTCTGAAGTTGATCTCTTCGTAATCGCAGAAGCGACTCTGATACTGGCGCTCTTAAGCATACTTGAGTTGGCTGCGTGGAGAAAAAACATCACACATAAAACATCACAACTGTTTTTCCGGATTTAAATCGCGTATATTTGTTTTTTCAAAAAAACCGACGTTTCGGGCCCTTTACAGGTCCCATGGTCACTGTAACAG